GGACACCCCACGCCACTCGGAGAAGCCCCATAAGCACCGAAGTGCCAACACGCTCCCACGACCCACGCACCACGTCAGCTGGGGGCTTCTGGCCTGGCGCAGGGAGCAGGGCACAGGGCGCAGGGCGGGCAGGCGGGTGGCTGGCAGGGGGACAGTCTCCTGCCCACAACTGCTCTGGGGTGGCCCTAACGTCCGCCGTGGTCTGAGGGGAACACACACTCGCGACTTGGGACCCATTAACATTTCTCAAAGGCTTCCTCCCACATCGGGAGCTGCCACGGGCCAGGGCCGCACACACCTCCCAGCGGAGCCCCAAACAACAGGGCAAACAGGGCGCCGGCCGGGGTCGCACACACCGCCCAGCGGAGCACCAGGGAAGGCGGGGCCTCCTCTTCTCATCGGGATGAGGCTCTGTAACTTGACCGAACGGTCGAATGTCCACAGCTGTCTCCCCTGGGATGCGGGCCTGGCTCCCGGGGGCGGCTCAGCCCAGGTTGCCCCCCTCTCCCCACCGTGAGCTCCAGGAGCATCCTGGCCACCCAGAAGGCGTCGCTGGAGGCCTGGCAGAAGGGCATCGACACCTGGAAAGCCAACACAGCATTGCACACGCAGGCACCGCGGCCCGGCTCCCCCAGCTCATCGCTGGCCGACGTGCTCCCTCCAAAGGCAGGTGTGAGTCCAGGAGGAAGGACCAATGGTGCCCCTAGGAGAGCTCACCGGGCTGGACAGCAGGGGCTCGCTCAGCTGCCTGGCAGGCACAGGCCCCGGAAAGGACCATGGGTCAGGAGCCAGCTCCGGGACGCTGCAGGAGAGGCCATGACAGAACAGGGCTGGTCTCCCGTGGGCACCAAGCCACCCCTCCCACCCCGTGGGGAACATGCCTGAGGGTGTCTGCCCCTCAGGAGCCCCCAGGTGCCAGACCCCCAGACCCATCTCCTCCGAGAGCCCTCAGGACACAGCGCACAGCAGGGCCTGTAGGACATGACAAGCACATGGCTCAGTGGGGAGTGCCCCCAAGTGGCTCACAGAGGGCATCAGCGAGAAGGTCACATAGAGGAGACAGGCTGGGGGTGGGGGTAGGAGGGAGACAGAGCACCTTACACCCAATGGGGGAGCAGAGGAGTGGTGGGGACATCCTGGCAGTGCAGCTCCCAGGGAGACATGTCGGCAGGTCCCTAAAGGAAATTGCACATGTCTGTCCCAGACTCCATGTCACTATGGAGAACGGTCAGGGTTCTCCCAACATCTGACATGGGATTGCCCCTCCCTCTCGTGTCCCCCTATCATTCTGCCCTCACTCGGCACCTGGCCTTCAGGAACAGATTAGTGAGACACAAACTCCGGGGCTCCAGTCCTGGGGGTCCCTCTCAGAAATTCCATCTAGCAAAGGACACACACTTCCCCCCACCACATTCGTCCATCCCTCCTGTGTGCTGGCTCCTGGACCCTTGTCCCTGTCCCATGGCCACTCCACAGACCCTAGGCTTCCAAGGCCTTTAAAACTTCACTAGGGAATGAAACCAGGATCTCTATGTGGCTCAGAAATCCTGACAGCCTTTAGCTGGGAAAGAAAATGACATAAAGAGGCTGCTGGGCGCCAGGGAATCTCAGGCCTAAACACCGTCTGCAGCACAGATGTCATATCCATTCATGTTCCCAGGAGTCCTTTCTGGGGAAAATCACCCTCTTCTTTTTGGAGACACAAGCTAGGGGAAAGCTGTGGTTTCCAGAAACTGTGAGCAAAGGACTTCAGCACAAGCTGAGCCAGCGCTGTGAGCCAGGCTCTGTGGGCTTTCCTCTGGGGCGGGGGCAGGTTCACCAGGAAGCTGTCTGCCTGTCCTGCCTGGCAGACGCTTGTGCCTGGTGCCCGGACCCTCCTCCAGGAATGCACTCTGGGGGTGGCTGCTGGGGGTGGGGGGGTCAGGGAACCCTGCATGAAGGAAAGGCCACCGCCCACTGCGGGGAGGAAGGTCCAGCTCACGCAGTCCAGCCTGCCTGGCCATAGCCCACAGCCTCCCTCCCTGAAGGATTGGCCACAGCGGTTCATCTCAGCGCTCCTTCCAGCTTCCAGAGGACAAACAGGCCAATGTTGCCTTGTCTCACTGTCCCCGCCCAAGACTCAGCATCCGAATCTGCCCACCCCACTGCCATGTGAGGCCCACAATTGTACTTCACCTTTGGCTTCACTGAGGTACAAGGTGCCATGACCTTATCTTCCCCTTTCTCCACTTACATTATTTCACAGGACATTGTCCTCTCTCTCTCTCTCTCGCTCTCTCTCTCTCTCTCTCTCTCTCTCTCTCAAAGGAGGAAGGGAGAGGGAGAGACACATCAATGATGAAAGAATCATTGACAAGCAGCATCCTGCACACCCACCACTGGGGATCAAGCCTGAAAACCAGGCATGTGCCCTGACCAGGAATCATACCGTGACCTCCTGGTTCACAAGTTGACATTCAACCACTGAGCCACGCTGGCCAGGCAGAACATTATTTACTCTTAAAGTGGCCCCTGTGGCTCTGGCTGGTGTTGCTCAGTGGATAGTGTCAGTCTGTGGCAAGGCTCTAACCACTGAGCACACCGGCCAGGGCTGCACCCCTTCCTGTGGGGCCTGTAATGGACTGTGTTCCCTGCACCGCACCCCCATTCTGACTCTCCACCTCCATGTTAGTGAGGTCTCCCTTTATTACGTTCCACAGCAATGACTCCAGCAACTTGTTTCCAACACAATGAACTGGCCTTGTATTTCTGGGACCAAAACTAGGTGAGGGCCAGACACTTCTATTTTACCTCTGAAAGCCGGTCCCAGGTCAACTGACCCTCCTCTGTGCACCTTCTTTACATCGATGTCTTCTTTTTGTGCAAATTACTTGCACTCTTTTTTCGTGTGTGTGTGTGTGTGTGTGTGTGTGTGTGTGTGCTGCTTTGTTTGGTTTTATCTGTGTCTTATCTCTGAAGCCTTTAGACCTGCATTACTTGAACATGCCTCTGACTCATCAGGTCACTTCTTTGGGACTTAAAGTTCTCCCGGTGCTTTCCTATTGCCTTCTTGTTTCCTTTTTCTGGTTGAGTCTCGGACCCCAGAATGCAAGTCCCGCCTGCCACCTGGCTGCGCCGTTCTCGCTAAGGAAGCGCACAAATGGGCCTGGAAGGAAGTCTGGGGCCTAGATACCACATGGTAGAAAGAGACTCCGTCAGGCGGCAGGAAGGACGCGTCACCCCCAGACCTGCCCGAGCGGGGGCTCCAGCTCCTGGGGTCCCTCCGCAGGAACCAAGCCCTGGACACCCGCCCGCCGCGCCGGGATGGAGGCTTCTTGACAGACACTCGTAGGACCCAGGGCAGCCAATCACCGCAGGAGGGGGGCGGGCTTTTCCTGCCCATGACTGACAGGAAGGCTTCATCCTGCGCCCCGCCCTTTCCGCCTTTCGGACTTCTCATTGGCGGGCAGGGCCCTGTGACGGCAGCGCTGATTGGCGGCCGGAGTGACGCGCTCTAGAGGAGGGAAGCTCCGCCCCGGCCTCACACCTCTTGCAGGCGGAGGAGCGCGGGGCGGGAGCGCGGGGCTCGGCGGGGACCGCGGCCAGGTGGGCGGCGCGGCCCGGAGACTGACAGGAAAACGGGGGCCTCGCGTGTGAACCCCTTCGTCTCCGGCCTTCAACCCCCAGCCTCAGACCCCTGAGAGGCTCCCACTCCTGTCAGAATGGAGGACCCCAAGCCTCCGCGCCCAGATAAATACTAAATCCCCAGCACACCCCGAAAACCCCATTCCCCTGAACCCCGGTTCCCTAAGCATAGCGCCCCCGGAAAGACCAAATTCCCAACTCCGAGACCCTAAACCCCGGTCCGGGGAACTCAACGTCCCCAAACCCGAAGCCTGTTCCTGAGAGACCCCAAGGCTCCTCACAGAACTCCAAATCCCCTCACGGAGCACCCCGTGCTTCCTGGGGGGAAGACCCGGTCTGTCCTGACGATCTCCTCAGCCACAGCGCCCATTGCTGCCCAATCCCCGGTGCAATTCCCCAGCCGGTTCTGTCCCGGCACAGCCCCAGCCGTCAGGGCGCCCCACCTACACCCAAGGGCCCTCAGTCCCCCCGACCGCGCCCCTCAGACCCCCGACCGCGCCCCTCAGACCCCCGACCGCGCCCCTCAGACCCCCCCCTGACCGCGCACCTCAGACCCCCCCCTGACCGCGCACCTCAGACCCCCCCCTGACCGCGCACCTCAGACCCCCCCCTGACCGCGCCCCTCAGACCCCCGACCGCGCCCCTCAGTCCCCCGACCGCGCCCCTCAGACCCCCCCGACCGCGCCCCTCAGTCCCCCGACAGCGCCCCTCAGACCCCCCGACCGCGCCCCTCAGACCCCCCCCGACCGCGCCCCTCAGTCCCCCCCGACCGCGCCCCTCAGTCCCCCCCGACCGCGCCCCTCAGTCCCCCCCGACCGCGCCCCTCAGACCCCCCCCGACCGCGCCCCTCAGTCCCCCCCGACCGCGTCCCTCAGACCCCCCCGACGGAGCCCATCAAACCCCCCCGACCGCGCCCCTCAGTCCCCCCCCCGGACCGCGCCCCTCAGTCCCCCGACCGCGCCCCTCAGTCCCCCCCCCCCGGACCGCGCCCCTCAGAACCCCCCGACCGCGCCCCTCAGTCCCCCCCGACCGCGCCCCTCAGACCCCCCCGACGGAGCCCATCAAACCCCCCCGACCGCGCCCCTCAGTCCCCCCCCCGGACCGCGCCCCTCAGTCCCCCGACCGCGCCCCTCAGTCCCCCCCCCCGGACCGCGCCCCTCAGACCCCCCACCTGCCCCTCAGTCCCCCCCCCCGGACCGCGCCCCTCAGGGCCCTGGTACACCCCAGCGGAGGCGGGAAGGAGTCCGCCCCTCGAGCTGCGGGGCCTCGGCCCTGACCCACCCTGTCCCCGAGGTCCGGTCTGTCCTGTGGGGACCCCCTACGGGGGGGGGAGCGGCCCCCTCAGCACCTCCTCCTTCCACAGGCACCGGGGCGCCATGAACCCAGACAGTTGCCCTCAGGAGCGCCCCGAGAGCCCAGAGGAGGAGGTGAGGAGAGTGGGGTGCAGGCCCACGGTGAGGGGTCCCGGGGGAGGTGAGGACAGAGGAAGGAGGAGGGAGGTGGGGATGGGTGTGGTCCGCGGGGAGGTGAGGAGGGTGATGGAGGTGGGGTCCGCAGGGAGGTGAGGGGGGTGGGGGCGGTGGGGACGGGGGAGGGGTGGGGACAGTGGGGTGGGGACAGGGGGTGAGGTCCGCGGGGAGGTGAGTCCACGGGGGGGTTGGGGTGGGGACAGGGGAGGGGTGAGGGGGGTGAGGGGAGGGGGTGGGGTCCTCGGGGAGATGAGGGGGTGGGGGCGGTGGGGACGGGGGAGGGGTGGGGACAGAGGTGGGATCCATGGGTGGGGAGAGGGGAGGGGTGAGGTGGTGGGGACGGGGGAGGAGGGGGTGGGGACAGGAGGTGGGGTCCGCGTGGAGGTGAGGAGGGGGTGGGGGAGGGGTGGGGACAGAGGTGGGGTCCATGGGTGGGGACAGGGGAGGAGGGGGTGGGGACAGTGGGGTGGGGACAGGGGGTGGGGTCCGCGGGGAGGTGAGGGGGGGTGATGGAGGTGGGGTCCGCGGGAGGTGAGGGGGGTGGGGGCGGTGGGGACGGGGCGCCCCCCTCCTGCTCTCCCCTGCGCCGTGGCTGACGATGTTCCCTCCTCCAGACCAGGGACGCCTTCAGGGACGTGTCCGTCTACTTCTCCCGGGAGGAGTGGGCGCAGATGAGCGCCTGGGAGAGAGCGCGGCACCGGAACGTGAAGAGCAACTACGAGGCGCTGCTCAGGATCGGTGACCGGGGCGCGGGGCGCAGGGGGCGCGGGGCGGGAAGCTCCGTCTGCAGCCGTCAGGGGCGCCCACCGGTGGGCACTGTGCTCCTTCGGGGATGGCGCTGCCCTGGCGTGTCTCCAGCGACCGGCCTCACCCCCGGTCCCAGGCCGGCCAGCGCTGGCTCAGTGCTCGTCCCCCTTCAGCTCTTCACTTGCAGGACGGACTTTTCTTCTTTCCAGGTCTCAGGGCCCCTCGACCCGCTTTCATGTGCCACCGCAGGAGGACGGCCAAGCCCCTGGCGGAGGACGCCGAGGACTCGGAGGACTCCGATGAAGAGTGGACCCCGAGGCAGCGAGGTGCGGGCGGAGGGTGCGAATGTGCCTGAACCCCACCTGGGTGTAGGTCGGACTGCATCTCGAGAGTTACCAGGGACAAGCAAAATGCTAAATAGTGTTATACAGTCAGGGGCTATTCACAGAAACTCGCTTTTATTAGTACATTTATTTGAGAGAGAGAGAAACATAGGTGAGAGAGAAGCCTCTATCCATTACCTCCCACATGGCCCCCAACCCGGATCGTGTGTGTGTGTGTGTGGGGGGGACACCTGGGCTTGGGCCCTGACTGGAATCCAACTGTGACCTCATGGTTCATTGGTGGGTGCTTAACCACTGAGCCACACTGTCCAGGTTCATATAACCTCTTTAAACGTGTAAAATAATTATATATACAGTATATTTTTTGTTGACACTATTACAGAGGTCGCCCATTTCCACCCAGCCCCACTCCCCAAATCTATAATTTAGAAAAGCATAATATGCAAATCCATGGGGAACAGCAGAAGGACCACTGGATGACCATCTGTGACACCCACTGGCGCCAGGCCAGTCAAGGCCTGTGCAATGCAATTGGTCGGACCCCACCATCCCCCATGATGCCCTGCAGATGTTTCAGGTCCCATCCCTAGTGTGTAAGTGATACAACTGATCAATGTTTTTCTCTCACATCAATGTTTCCATCTCTTTCTCTTCCTCTCTCTCTAAAACCAAGAAACAGCTGAAACAGGTTTGGCTCAGTGGTAGAGCGTCGGTCTGCGGACTGAAAGGTCCCAGGTTCAATTCCGGTCAGGGGCACATCCCCAGTAGGGGGTTTGCAAGAGGCAGCTGGTCGATGTTTCTCTCTCATTGATGTTTCTATCTCTCTATCTCTCTCCCTTCCTCTCTGTAAAAAGTCAATAAAATATATTTTAAAAAATAAATAAATAAATAAAAATAAAACCAATAAATATATATATATATATATATATATATATATATATATATATCCTCAGGTGAGGATTAAAAAAAAGAGAGAGGAGGATAAATGGTGATGGAAAAAATAAAATAATTATATATTTATAGAACATTAATAAGTAAGTCTATAAAAAATACAAAATAGAATAAAAAATAACTAATTTAGAAGAGTTGTCATCACATGGAAGGAGGAAGGTCTGGCAGGTGAGCAGTGCTCTAAGACCTGCATGGGGACATATGGGAAAATTATTAGCCATGGTGGTTAGGGGGTTGGGCTGTGGGCAAGGCTAGGAAGTACTTCCTCATTGTTTCAGGTTCCATGTCAGCCATGTCATCATCAGCCAGGTTTCATGACAGTCTGGTTAATATGGTCCGTAGTTCCATGGGTCTGAGGTTAAAACATAGCTGAAGTCACGACGTTATCTCTAACTTGCCAGAAACTCTGTTTCTGTGGCGAATAGAACTAAGTCTTTGTTCCTAAGACTGGATGATGCTGATCAGAATCTACTGATCAGGGAAGGTGGGCACAGTGCAAAGGGAGAAGGCTAAGAAAGAAAGGAATCAAGGTGATCCTGATGCCATTGGACTAGACAGGGTCAGTATGAATACAAAAGACAGGAGAAGGCCAGGTTACAGAGTGGAGTTTATTTTCAGTTACATGAACTTTTTTATATTTTTTTCATGAAAGGCCATTTTTTTATTTATTGTTTTTTAGGACCCAAGGCTATTCATTGATTTAAGAGAGAGGAAGGGAGGGAGACAGAGAGACATAAACATCAATGTGAGTCAGGAATATCGATCAGTTGCCTCCTGTTTACACCCCAATAAGGATCGAACCTGAAAGCTTTGGTGTACAAGATGATACTCTAACCAACCGAGCCATCCAGCCAGGGCTGGGCCAATTTAAATATATATATTGAACAGAGGATGAAGTACAGAATGGGTTTTGTCTATTTTTAAACAATTTAAGAATATTAGCTGATGCTCCCAATAAAAGCATAAGCCCAATGAAACCTCAGAAAACATTTTCCAGTCCTCCTTGATCTGTCCTTGGAGTACTCTCTGATTCAGAATTCTGTGTCCCTAATAAGAATCTCCAGATTTGAAGCAATTAACAACCAAAACTGATTTCTCACCCAGCCAGCATGGTTCATTGATTGACCATTGACCTATGAACCAGGAGGTCACAGTTTGATTGCAGTAACAGTACATGCCCAGGTTGTGGGATCAATCCCTGGTGTGTGGGTGTGCAGGAAGCAGTTAATCCATAATTTGCTATCATCATTAATGTTTTTATCTCTCCCTTCCTCTCTGAAACATTATATATATATATATACAAATTTTAAAATTGATTTCTCACGATCTTTTAGTTAAACCTTCTTGGGTGGCCTTCAGAGTGGAACAGAATAAACATCAGAAGGTGAGTATTTCCCAAATCCTGTTGAAAAGAAAATCTTCCTCCTGGATGCAAATGCAGGAAAGAGAAGAAAAAAATCAGTGCTCCCTAGGAACTGCCACCTTCCTTTTCTAACCTCTTCAACAAAATGCCCACTATCATCTTAGGAGTTAATAACAACAACAACAATAGTAGCTACCACTGGTTTTATCTTCACAATGCTTCAGACACTAAGAATTATACATAAATAAACTCGCTTAATACATGCATATAAGTACAATCAATGGACACAAAACTCTGGGGAGGGAGGGTATGAATGGGAGGGGGGGAATGGTAAGAAATGTACACAGATAATTTAATTTAAAAAAAAGTTGAGAAAAAATAAAAAAATAAATAAACTCGCTTAAACCTTACCACAACTCTATGAGATAGGTACTATAACTATCACCATTTCTGATGTGGAAACTGAGGTTTCAGACATATCGAAGTGATTATATGACTGAGATCACAGTAACAGTATCGTGTAATCTAATCCATACATTCTTCTCTAAACCACTTACAAGCTCATTACAATTTCCCTAGTTTATTGCAGTTTTCACTGTCTTATCCATACATCATTAATCATTTATTGATTAATTATTCCAAGCACAGTTCTTCTCTGCTATGCTGCAGTGAGCAATGCACTAAGACTTCTGACTCCCAGAAGCTCACTAACATGTAGGCAGTTTGCACGGGGGATGGTCCCAGATGAAGAAGGCTGTAGGAACCACAGCATCAGAGTCTCCCAGTCAAATAAAAGAAAGCATCTCTCAACTCTGGGGAGCTTCAGGTTTGACGATTGAGAAACAATAAATAATAAAGTGACTTAAGGGCTTCATAGAGGTCACACACTATTCAATAGGAGCTCATCCGTCTGGAACTGGCTTCGAATGCCCATTCCAGTAAGAAGTATAGCTTATTTCTCTGAGCTCTCATTAGGGCAGTGTCATCTTGTTTGAATCATGTGCTCAGCCTGCCTACCTCTGCATTGTGAGCTCTTTGGTTCATACCTGTTTCTTCTCAGAAGTCCCAGGCCATGCTCAGGGTCCCTGAGGGCTCCCTGAACATTTGCTGAATGAATGCTTTCAATTTTACAAATTAAACTATAAGAGGGTCAATGAATAATGAAGATAATTTTCATATAATTTCAAATATAGAGATGGCTGAGAGGTAAACTGATAGCAGGACTGTAATCTCACTTTCAAAGAGCTCACAAAACACTGGTGAACATCCTTATGTTTCATGTTCATTGTGACATTAACAATTAGCATGTTAGCTGAAACCGGTTTGGCTCAATGGATAGAGCATCGGCTTGGGGACTGAAGATACCAGGTTCAATTCCAGTTAAGGGCATGTACCTTGGTTGTGGCATATCCCCAGTAGGGGGTGTGCAAGAGGCAGCTGATCGATGACTCTCTCTCATCGATGTTTCTAACTATCTCTCTCCCTTCCTCTCTGTACAAAATCAATTAAAAAAATGTATTTTAAAAAATTAGCATTTTATACATCAGGAAACTGAAGAGAACTAGCTAGTAGCACAACCTTATTCAAACAGAATTGGTGGGAACCAACTAATCTAATTACAAATATTCTTTCCATGATATAGTAATTTGCACATTTTAGTGCAATTTTCTTTATTGTCATGATAATGTCTGCCAGCCATTTCTTTTAAAAATATGTTTTAACTGATTAGAGAGAGAGTGAGAGAGAGAGAGGAAGGGGAGGAAGAGAAGCATCAGTGAAAGAGAAAAACATGGATCACTTGCCTCCTATACAGACCCTAACCTGGGATCTAACACATAACTGGGACATGTTCCCTGACTAGGAATGGAATTGGCAGCCCTTCAATTCAACCAACTGAGCCCACCAGCCAGGGCTTTCCGATCTATTCACAACCCACATTGGCCAATTCTTTTTCCTCTAATATTTATACTTCCCAGATATTTCAAAAGTTGTGGAAGTATTAATTAAAGTCATGTATAAGGACAATAGGAGGGTGGGGGCATGAGTGGGGAGGGGTGGGGGATTGGAATGGGGGGTTGAGGATAAATATGTGATATCTTAATCAATAAGGAAATTAAAAATATAAAAAAACAATAAAAAGTCATGTATGTAAAAATATATTGTAAGCAATACATAATTTTAAAAATGCATGTTACCTTTTAATATGTTACTTTCACATTGAAGGCAAAGTCCAGGGTACCATTAAGTCATGAGTCTAGTTTGAGGGAATTGTCAGGAACAGCAACTTTGTTGACTGCAAGTGGCTCAGAGCAGACCCAGAAACCAGTGCCACCTCCTGAAGAAGCAAGCACCTCCGGACAGCACCCTAGACCAAAATTGGGTAAGAGAAAATAATTTGGAGATTCCAGTTCCACTAATTCTTCTAGAAAGGCTGATCAGTAAGGCCTAGGTATGTGGGGTGGACTTTGCAGAAGCCTGGATTTGAAACTGGAGTTAGCACTGGAGCTCTGAGCAAATCTTACCAACTCTCTGAGCTCCTGGATGCTAATGTGTAAAGTGAACAGAAGGAGACATGGTCACATACAGTTTGAAAGCATTAAATTAAATTTAAAACAATTGACATGTGCAATGTACCCAATAAATCCACCTGTGATCATAGCACCCATACTCTCTTGGTGTGTGTGCCAGATCTTTACTCAGTGCCTAACACATAATGTGCCCTCAACACATATTTCATGAATGACTACAGGTTGGGAGGTTGAACCTGATTCTGAGAACATTCATAAACTAAAATTGAATCAGCCATCGACAGTCAGTGTGGAGTGCTGGTCTCTTAGTTAACGGAGGAAAATACCAGAGAATATAGAAAAACAGGTGATTGTTTGATGGGAGAACATTGTGTATTTTCTGATAACACAGGGACTATCATTCCAGACGTCACCCCCTCATTCACCTGCTCTTCTCCCACTTAGACACCAGGAGAAAGGAAAGCGAAGTGAAGACGTACAGCCTACGACAGAGAAAGGGCCGTGTCTACCAAGAGATCAACGAGCCCCAGGACGATGACTACCTCTGTAAGCTGACCCTCACCAAGGGGCGTGTTCTGTCTTGATGCAATAATTTCACCTGGTCACTGGGTGCCCAATCATTCTCTTCCTCTGGTAGCCGGAGTACAGGACTGAGGCTCACTGATGTGAGCTCTTTCCAAAGCTCTTCATGTCCAGGAGCATGCACTGCACCCTCCCTAATCCCTGTCGCTCTTGCCTACAGATTGTGAGAAGTGTCAGAACTTCTTCATTGACAGCTGTGCTGTGCATGGGCCCCCCACATTTGTAAAAGACAGTGCCATGGACAAGGGGCAGGCCAACCGCTCAGTCCTCACTCTGCCCCCCGGGTTGAGAATCGGACCATCAGGCATCCCTGCGGCTGGGCTTGGAGTGTGGAATGAGGGATGTGATCTGCCGGTGGGCCTGCACTTTGGCCCCTATGAGGGCCAGATCACAGAAGATGAAGTCGCAGCCAACAGTGGCTACTCCTGGCTGGTGAGAAGCTTACCTCTTCCCCTGTGTTCTGGCTTCCCACGGCACTCCTGTGGCTTGGTGGGCCCCCACCTGCTCCATGCTAGGACATGGATAGGGATAACATGGTTAGCTCGGTGTACTGAGCAGACTTTACATGAACATGGAGCTCCTCTCTAAGGGTCAGAGGGTAAATGGGAGCAAAGTGGTACAGACTCCTCCCTTGTGGGGTTCCTGCTTTCGGGACAAATCGACTCAGATGTGTAGATGATGAGTAAGAAAAATATCCTGTGATCCCCATTGGCAGTTGAATCTCCATGCAGGTGGAAAGACATCTGATGGTAGTACATAATTATTCTGTTATGTACACACACACACACACACACACACACACACGCACACACACGCACACACACGCACACACACGCACACACAGCCTTTAACTTCTTTTCCGGAAATGCAGATCACCAGAGGGAGGAACTGCTATGAGTATGTGGACGGAAAGGATGAATCTCAGGCCAACTGGATGAGGTAAGGTCAACAGGCCTCTGGGTGCCAGAGAGGACACTCACAGCCCACATGTCTTTCCTACCCATCATGCAATGGTCTCTTCAGTCCTCTGTTCCCCTTTCTTCCCCACACAGTGATCTTTCACATCAAAGAGACATTTAGGAAAAGAGGAGGTAAAGTATAGCATATGTCCTCAAAATACAAGTCTCCAATTTGGGCACTGGATTACTCTGTCATTTATCCAGTGGACATTAATTAAACACTTACTATATTCCAGTTAAGAAAAGGGAATTCTTTATTTAAAAGGATCACACAACCCATGTCCCTATGGAGGACTTATTGCACACAGACATGAAAAAATTATTTCATAAATATTAACAAAATGTTCCTATTTTCTAAGAAGTGGCAAGTGCCTAGATAGCCTTAAACCAAGGACAACCTAAGCTTGTGAGGGCAGCACATCAACCCAGCCTCGGTCCTAACCAGAACTGGATGCTGGAGCTCTCTTGTATCAGGGGATACAGATATGAATAAACTACCACTGCCCTGTGTTATTTTCCTAAGACAAAGAGACCTCCACATTTCTGTGGGAACCCGGGGGAGGCAGCAGAGTGACACCTCCAATAAAGTGTGGGGAGAATGGGGAAAGGCTTCTCACAAGAAGGTAGACTTGGGCTGAGTGCTGCATGATGTTACGAATCCAGAAACAGAGTCCTCGATCCAGCAAGAGTTCTGTGGTGCAACACAGAACCTGACTTGGAGCTGAGAGACGCTAGAGATAACGGGGTTTGATGGGGAGTCTGGAATCAGGCTTTGGAAAGGGCATTAGACAGGATGAGCTCTATGAGCAGGACTTAGAGACAGTTCACGCGGCCTGTGAAGAGCTCGGGCATTGAACAGAAGCTTTCCCAGGAGCACTGGGGAGCGGGTGACATCAGAGCTGAGGGCCTTGAGCATCAGCGAGGAGCTGGACAGGATATGACAGGGAGTGGGAAGTCATCGCCTGTGGTTTTCTTCCCTTTCACCTGCCTTGACCCCAGGTATGTGAACTGCGCCCGGGATGACGAAGAGCAGAACCTGGTAGCCTTTCAATATCACAGGCAGATTTTCTACCGAACCTGCCGGGTCGTGCGGACGGGCTGTGAGCTGCTGGTCTGGTATGGAGAAGAGTATGGCCAGGAGCTGGGCATCAAGTGGGGCAGCAAGTGGAAGACAGAGCTCGTGGCCAGGAAAGGTGGGCACCACTCTTGTTTAACATGGAAAGAAAGAATACTTAAAAAACAAAAAAACAAAAAACAAAAAAAAAGAAGAAGAAGAAGAAAGAACTCTGATTTTTCATGGTCCAACTCTCAAGTATAGTGAAATCCACTCTAGAATCAGTAAAGCTTAAAATCAGATGCTTCAGAAATTGATGGTTCGTTACATGGGTCTTTGATTCTTAGGAACAATTTTAATATTTTAATTTTTGTTCTAATTTTTAAAAATACGCTTCTATTGGATTTAGAGACAGAGATGAAGAGAGAAGGAGAGAAACATCAGTCTGCTGCCTCCTGGGGGGTCAAGTCCACCACCCAGAATTGTGCCCTGACCAGGAATCAAACTGGCTACCTCTGGGTGAATGGAACAATGCTCAACCAACTGAGCCACACTGGCCGGGGCTAATTTTTGTTTAAATTTTTAAATACTTCATGGACAAAATACACAGCATCATATAGTACTGAAAGGGTTAGAGGCAAAAAAAAATTTTTTTTCAGGCACCTACCAGCTCTCCCATCAAGGTGTTTTTTTTCTGACCCTTTTATTAATAGCTGTTTCTCATTTGCTGCATATTTCTAAATGAAATCTGTGTGTTAACGTGCATTCATTCATTATTTCAGTGACTTGCCCTGTGAGTTCCTAGTCGGTGCCACACACGGTTCCTGGGAGCTGGAAATGCAGAGTAACACAATGATCAGAATCACTGCTCCTGAGCAGCTGGCTGGGGGAAGGAGGGAAGCCCAAGATTAATGTTACACAGTGATTAGCACTTCAGAGAAAACAAGTGCCAAGGGGTCAGTGTGAGGGGAGGGTGGGTGTGCCAGATTCTGAAGCTCAGGGAAGGGCTTTCTCAGGAGATAACACTTGACACCTGTGGCACAGTTAGTGCAGGGAAGGAAAGAGGTGGAGCGCTGAGCTGGCTGGGGGGTACTTGGGTCTCAGTCTCAGTACAGAGGGTAAGAACGGAGTTGGACAGATGCCTAGCAGCCTGGAAAGACAGTGCCTATGATCCAAGCTGAGATACTTTCCTGAGTGAGACAGGACAATTGTGCAGTTTTCAGCTGCAGAGTGGTATGTTCTCTGTTCTAAAATTATGCTTTGTTAATTATTTGGAAAATAAACTTGAGTGGGGAATCCCCTCCAAGATGATTTCAACTCCAAGTGAGAAAGGATGGTGGATTGGCTGGAGAGGGAGTGTAAGAAGCATGGTTGGGCCGAAGCTGGTTTGGCTCAGTGGTAGAGCGTCGGTCTGCGGACTGAAAGATCCCAGGTTCGATTCCAGTCAGGGGCATGTGCGTTGGTTGCGGGCACATACACAGTGGGGGGGGTGCAGGAGGCAGCTGGTCGATGTTTCTCTCTCATCGACGGTTTCTAGCTCTCTATCTCTCTCCCTTCCTCTCTGTAAAAAAATCAATAAAAAATGTATATTAAAAAAAAAAAAAAGAAGAAGAAGCATGGTTGGGGAAATAATCTTGTTGTTGTTGTTAATCCTCAAAAGAGGATATTTTTCTACTGATTTTTTTTAAGAGAAAATAGAAGGGAGGGGGAGAGACATAGAGAGAGAAACAATTGCTTGCTCCCACACGCACCCAACCAGGGCAGGGGATTGAGCTTGCAACCAAAGTACGTGCCCTTGACTAGAATCGAACCCAGGACCCTGGAGTCACCAAGACGATGTTCTATCTACTGAGCCAAACTGGCTAGGGCATGGTTCGAGAGATATTTTGAAACAGGACTTCCTATTGTATTTGAAATGGGCTAACACTGAATGAAATCAGTGGGAATACTGTGTGAGGAAGGACATATTTCCATTTTAGGAATTGTGGAAAACTGAGAGAAGCAATTTCTAGTTGGGGCCTGTGGTTTCTCTCTCTATTTGTAAATATTTTATTAGTTTTATAGAGAGAGGAAGGGAAAGGAAGAGAGAGAGAGAAATATCAACATGGATCAGCCGGCTCCTGCAGGGAACAAGCACAAAACCTGGGCATGTGCCATGACCAGGAATTGAACTGGTGACCTCCTGATTCATGGGTTGATGCTCAGGCACTGAGCGACCCAGCCAGGCCTGTGGTTTTTCTCTTTAACATGACTTAGACGATACAGGTATATGGCAAGTCACTATAGTACCACCCATATACAGAGTGAAATGGCCTCTGATGGTCCCTTTTCGAAAGTCCCTAGTCTGCAATCTGTAACACCTTTTTTCTTTTTAATCCTCACCAAGGATATTTTTCCGTAGATTTTTGAAAAACTTGATTTTTAAAAAGTGTATTTCTTTATTGATTTCAGAGCGGAAGAAAGAGGAAAAGATAGATAAAAACATCAATGATGAATAGCTGGTTTGGCTCAGTGGATAGAGCGTTGGCCTGCGGACTGAAGGGTCCCGGGTTCGATTCCGGTTGGGGGCATGTGCCTTGGTTGCAGGCACGTCCAAGATGGAGGGGGTGCAGAAGTCGGCTGATCCATGATTCTCTCTCATCGATGTTTCTGGCTCTCTGTCCCTCTCTCTTCCTCTCTGTGGAAAATCAATAAAATATATTTACAAAGAAAAAAAAAATCAATAATGAGAGAGAATCATGGATCAGCTGCCTCCTGCCCACCCATCCCCCACTGGGGATGGAGCACAAAACCCAGGCATGTGCCCTTGGCCAGAATGGAACCCAGGACCCTTCAGTCTGCAGGACGATGCTCTATCCACTGAGCCAAACTGGCCACTGATTTTTATTTCTTTTTAAATTTATTTTATTGATTTTCTACAGAGAGAGAGAGAGAGAGAGAGAGTCAGAAACACTGACGAGAGAGAAGCATCGATCAGCTGCCTCCTGCACACCCCTCACTGGGGATGTGCCTGCAACCAGGGTACATGCCCTTGACCAAAACCGAACTCCAGATCCCTCAGTCTGAAGGTCGACGCTCTATCCACTGAGCCAAACCGGTTTCGGCTGGCCATTGATTTTTAGAGAGAGTGGAAGAGAGGGTGAAAAACAGAGAAAACATATTGATTGGCTGTCTCCTAAACACACCCTGACCAGGGCCCGGGCTGGGAAGAAACCTGCAAGCAAGACACATGCCCTTGACTGGAATTGAAACCGGGACCCTTCAGTCTGCAGGCTGAGGTTCTATCCACTGAGCCACACTGGCCAGGGCTGTAGAGAAGACTTTTGATACGGGGTCTCTGTATTTCTGAAGAAGCTGTAGTGCCTACAAAGAAACAGAAAAATATGCTCTAACTGGTTTGGCTCAGTGGATAGAGCATCATCCTGCGGACTGAAGGGTTCCAGGTTCGATTCCCGGTCAAGGGCATGTACCTTGGTTGTGGGCACATCCCCAGTAGGAGGTGAGCAGGAGGCAACTAATAGATGTTTCTCTCTCATTGATGTTTCTAACTCTCTATCCCTCTCTCTTCCTCTCTATAAAAAAAAAAATCAATAAAATAATTTTTTAATAAATAAACAAAAATAGACTGTGAAAGAACACTGTGTGGGAGGCAGAGCTTGCACTGTCAAGATAATGAGAATGATTCCTGGGGCAGGTCTTAACAGGGGACAAGCTTTGTCCACGCCTGCCCTGACCAAACTTTCTCCTTCAGCAGAACCAAAGCCGGAGATCCACCCATGTCCCTCCTGCTCTGTGGCCTTCTCCAGTCAGACATTCCTCAGCCAACATGTGAAACGCTATCACCCCTGGGAGGCTCTGCCAGGAGCATCTGCAGGACAACACCTCCAGTCAGAGGAACCCGGCTCAGAGCCTCAGGATCAGCAGCAGCAGCAGCATACTGGTACACATGACTGCAATGACAAAGCTGAAGGTCAAGAGGCCAGAGGAAGGTCCAAACCTCTGCTTAAAAGTATCAGAAAGAGGAGAATTTTAAGGGCCTCTTTCAAACCTCCCCACAGACAAACGGGGAGCTCCAGTGAGCATGAGAGAGTAATGGAGGAACAGCCCAGCACAGGCCAGAACTTGAATCTAAAGAACCCAGGGAAATTATCTGTGGGAGTAAGAATGTCAAAAATTGTAACAATCAAGCATGGAGGGTGTGGGCAAGGCTTTAATGAAGGGTCACATATCAACACAGACCAGAGGACACACTCAGGGGAGAAGCCCTGTGTGTGCAGGGAGTGTGGGCGAGGCTTTAGAGATAAGTCAACTCTCATCAGACACCAGAGGACACACTCAGGGGAGAAGCCCTATGTGTGCAGGGAGTGTGGGCGAGGCTTTACACAGAAGGCACATCTCATCACACACCAGAGGACACACTCAGGGGAGAAGCCCTATGTGTGCAGGGAGTGTGGGCGAGGCTTTACAGTGAAGTCATCTCTCATCACACACCAGAGGACACACTCAGGGGAGAAGCCCTATGTGTGCAGGGAGTGTGGGCGAGGCTTTACACAGAAGGCACATCTCATCACACACCAGAGGACACACTCAGGGGAGAAGCCCTATGTGTGCAGGGAGTGTGGGCGAGGCTTTAGAGATAAGTCACATCTCATCACACACCAGAGGACACACTCAGGGGAGAAGCCCTATGTGTGCAGGGAGTGTGGGCGAGGCTTTACAGATAAGTCATCTCTCATCAAACACCAGAGGACACACTCAGGGGAGAAGCCCTATGTGTGCAGGGAGTGTGGGCGAGGCTTTACAGTGAAGTCATCTCTCATCACACACCAGAGGACACACTCAGGGGAGAAGCCCTATGTGTGCAGGGAGTGTGGGCGAGGCTTTACAGATAAGTCATCTCTCATCAAACACCAGAGGACACACTCAGGGGAGAAGCCCTATGTGTGCAGGGAGTGTGGGCGAGGCTTTACAGTGAAGTCATCTCTCATCACACACCAGAGGACACACTCAGGGGAGAAGCCCTATGTGTGCAGGGAGTGTGGGCGAGGCTTTACAGTGAAGTCATCTCTCATCACACACCAGAGGACACACTCAGGGGAGAAGCCCTATGTGTGCAGGGAGTGTGGGCGAGGCTTTACAGTGAAGTCATCTCTCATCAAACACCAGAGGACACACTCAGGGGAGAAGCCCGGGGTTTGCAGGGAGGGTGAGTGAGTCATTAGCCCTAAATTGCAATCCAGCAGCCGCAGGAGAGTGTAGGCACCAAGTACCTCATATCCCAGCTCTGAGGGGGCTTCAGAGGAAGTTGGGGGCCCCTTTCCCTCCCCAGGAGCGTAGTTAGTACAGAAGTAACGGGTCAAACAAATCCTCCACTGTCGTGACGAGAGGCAGTAGACAAGCAGTTCTGTAAGTGTTCTGGGATGTCAGCACCAATGTCCCCATGGAGCTCTGGTCTGGTTTTAATAAAGTTTGTGTCCAGACAAACCTGAAGCCTGTGTCCCCCATTATCACTGGAAGCAGAGTTCCAGGGGGCCACAGAGAACCCCCAGCCACAGAAACTCAACCTGGGAAGGCGAAGGTGGAAATCTGGTCAGTCCAGTGAGGTTCCTGCCAGGGAGAGGGATTGAGACAGACTCACCAGGAACGGGAATAGCCCCCCACCCCAACCCTTGGCTTCTCCTGCTCCTCTCCGATTCCTCCAGCCTCTGTAGCCTCTGAAAGACAGAGAGGGCGTGTGTGTGTGTGTGTGTGTGTGTGTGTGTGTGTGAGTGTGTGTGTGTGTATACAGTGTGTGTGTGTGTGTGTGCGCGCGCAGTGTGTGTATGTGTGTGTGTGTGTGCATGTGTGTTTGTGTGTGTATACAGTGTGTGCGTGCAGTGTGTGTATGTGTGCACGTGTGTGTGCACGTGTGGGGGTGCATGTGTGGGGGTGCATGTGTGTGTACAGTGTGTGTACAGTGTGTGTGCAGTGTGTGTGTGCACGTGTGTGTGCACGTATGTGTGTGTGTGCATGCGTGTGTGTGTGGGGTGTGTGTGTGTGTGTGTGTGTGTGTGCCCTCGTGCCCGTGCACGCACTGGTGCTGCCTCAGTCTGGGCACTGCTCGCCCTCACCCTCTTGCTGCCTCTCCTGTGGGGCACAGCATGTGGGCGCCAGGTCTGTCCACAAGGGTTAGAGTCTCAGCTCTGCTCTCACAACTGTGTGGCCCAAAGTAAGACCCCTGGTCTCTGTGCCTCTTTCCAACCTGTAAATGGGAGGGGGGTGACCCAGCCTTGGTGTGTCCCTCGGATTGGTCAGCACCGCGCCTCTGGCACAGGGAGGCTAGAACGCGGGTCTCGGTGAACAGCGTCTGCCAGGCCTTGAGGTGGACACGGGGCGGGGGGAGCCAGGTCAGAGCTGAGCAGCCCCACTGCTCTCTGCACGGACTGGGCTGCCTGAGCAGAAGGCGGGGTCAGACATGTGCCCCCACACACACAGGCCACCCTCCCACTGAGCCTGGGCAGCGGCCCTGAGAGTGACCAGGACACAAGCCCTCGCCACCCTGCCGAGAACTGGGTGCACCTCGCCTCACGGTGTGCGAAGCCCACCTCAGCAGGTGCCTTGTGCTGGCCTGTTCCTGGGTCTGCGGGTACAACCCCCTGACCGGTCTGAAATCCTCAGTTACACGTTTCCACGAGGAGTCAATGGGCCACGGACCCGCATGAGCAGAGCAGGCAGCCAGTGTAGGTCGTTCCTGCCACCGGTTCACAGGTAACGTCCACCGAGGCCAGGAGCATACACCCTCGCGGGCCCATGGGGGGGTCCAGCGAGACTCGGGGAACAAGAAAGCATCTGCCTGGGGAGGTGAGGGGGTGGTGCACAGCAATCAGAGAACCCGCTTTTCTTACAACAGAGCAGACGTCAATGCAGGGCACAGGCACAAGCAGGGAGAACCTGTCACCCCTCTCCTGACCAAGGGACCCAGCACAGCACCCTGCTCCCCGAGGAGGGTTCCTGAAGGGCCACCCAAACCCACGACCTGACACATGACCTTCCCTCTCCCGCACGGCAGGTGTGGCTCCGTGGTTGACCTATGACCTAGGAGGTCAGGGTTCAATTCCTGCTCAGGGCAGATGCACAGATTGTGGGCTTGACCCCCAGAGTGGGGCCTACAGGAGGCAAATCAATGATTCTTACATTGATGTTTCTCTCTCTCTCCTGTCCTCTTGGAAATCGATAAAAACAGATTAAAAAAAATAAATAAATAAATAAATAAAAGACCTTTCCCTCCCTGTGACCAGGCTTGAGAAGAGTTTAAATAAACTAGGTGATTTCAATCATAAGCATCCATTATTCTTTTCTCCTTCTCATGCTTTTTTAAAGGAAGGAAGGAAGGAAGGAAGGAAAGAAGGAAGGAAGGAAGGAAGGAAGGAAGGAAGGAAGGAAGGAAGGAAGGAAGCTGTGTATCTTCGGTTTTGTTTTCCTTCCCTGTGCAGCCCATCCCCCTCCCCCAGAGAAAACACCATGAATGTTCCATGTTCTGTGGCTTCCAAAATGGGCTTGGGGAGGGCAGATCCTAGTGTCGCTGGGTGAGAAGCTGGGACTGAGATACAGGTGCTGCTCACTCCCCCCACCAGCACTGGCCTGTTCTCTCCCCTCCCTCCAGCAGCAACCCCCCTCCCCGGTGTGGCGCCTGCCTCCACGGTGCTCCACCTCGTCTCCAGGCCCTGGAGGGTCCCTCCTTCACGCAGGGCTGACCTGGGCTGTGAAATGCCGAGCGGCTCCCAGAGCGACGGCACAGAAAGGCACTTTGCCTCAGCCTTGCTCACAGGGTCTCAGGGCCCCTGGAGCAGGGAGCTGGGGGGTGGCCCCTCCGGCCCAGCTGGCAGCTGCTGGACTGAGCTCTGGTCCCGACAGGCAGCTGTCATGGTCATGGTCCAGGTAACCCTGCTGCCTCCAGGCCACCCCAGCGACACCTGGTGGCCCCCCAGCTCCTGCACCTGACGCTGTGCGGCCCTCGATGGGCAGGTCACAGTCTCATCAGCCACCGAGGCGACAGGCCGGCCTGGCTAGCTGCCTCCATCACTCCCACACACACTCTGAGACCCCAGGGCTGCCTCAGGTGCTGCCTGCGCCACCTGCTTTCCCTCAGCTCTTCTGCCCCCAGGAAAGGGCAGGCCAGCTTGGGCAGGTGAGGGGGGGTCACTCGCCAGAACCTTCAGCCAAGAACCCAGACCCGCTGACTGCCCTCCACAGCCAGGTCACATGAGCCTGGACTGAAACTTGGCAAATTTGTCTTGAATCCTAGACCTGCCTGGCTTCTGGCTGAGCTGCGCTCCCCCTGCATTGAGTGTCTGACCCCCTGGTGGTCAGTGTGTGTCATAGTGACTGGTCATTCGGTCAATTTGCATATTATCTTTTTACTAGAGGCCTGTGCACAAAATTTGTGCACGGGGGCAGGGAGGTGTCCCTCAGCCCAGTTTGCACCCTCTCCAATCTGGGACCCCATCAAGGGATGTCAAACTGCCCATTTAGGCCCAATCCCACCATCTCACAATCCAGAGCTGCTGTGTCTGCCTGCCAGCATGATCCCCCAAACCACTCCCATGCTAGCAAAATTGATGTCTAACTGCTCCCCTGCCAGCCTGTTTGCCTCTAACTTCCCTCCTCTGCCGGTCTGATCACCCCTAACTGCCCTCCCCCTGCAGGATTGATCGCCTCCAACTGCCCTTGCTTGCAGGCATGGTCCCTCCCAACTGTCCTCCCCTGATGGCCTGGTTCCTCCCAAATCCCTCCCTGCTGGCCATCTTGTGGTGGCCATTTTATGTCCACATGCGGGCAGGATCTTTGTCCACATGGGGGCAGCCATCTTATGTGTTGAAGTGATAGTCAATCTGCATATTACTCTTTTATTAGGATAGAGGCCTGGAGCTGAGCCAAGCCTCCTGCTTGCTATGGGGCTTCTCCGTCTGGGTCCCACGTCAGACTCCAACACGGTTTCACATTCCTCGGCACACGTGTCGGCAATGAGCTCCAGGGCTTCACTCAGTTAGATGTTGTATCCATTTTCAGGGTCAGAAAAAAAATATCCAGGATTGATGTAAAAGTACCTTAATGAATCAAACATGTAAGCAGCCTCTTACCCTGATCATGTTAGGTTCGGAGAAAAGGAAAACATGCTGACCTTTGCACTATCTTTTGTTGTTGTACACAGAGTGTGACTACGTAAAAGGGTAGCAGTCTCTCTCCCCTGGACGCATGCTCCCTAGTCTGCGTTCAGGGTGTACATGTCCATATTAACATTCAACTTACCTTGTATCACACCATTTACTGGAAAGTGGAAGTTTTTGTAAGTACTTTGAGATCTGAAGTTATGGCTGCCAGTTGAAAGAAAGACCTGGCAGGACTCAGCTCGCCTGAGCTCCATCCGTGACGGGCGTGATCGGCTCTGCCACGTCTCCAGTCTGCTGGCCCTCTGAGGGGCCCAGCCAGCCGTGAGGGGGAGGGGCCTGTCAGTGTCCTGAGCCCACAGTCAACCAGCAGTGACGGGTCCCTTTGTGTGCTCTGCACTAGCAGGGCCGGACTCCCTCTGGATCCCCCCCAACATGCGCATGTGCACGCACACACACACACACACACACACAAGCACACACACACATATGTGTGTGCTCACACATATGTGCACACACACACACCTCAGGAGTAAACCCCAGGACCTGAAACCCCACGGAACTTCATCATGAGCTTCCCTCACCTCCAGAGGGGGCCAGAGGGTGAGGAAAAGCTGGATGGAGCCTGAGGGGTCCAGCCCTGCATTCAGCACACAGGTCAGGTTGGCCTGCGGAGGGCACCCCTGAAGACTGCCTGAGGCCGGGCACACCGACAGCTGGTGCCAACCCTGCGTCCATGGGGTGACCTCGCTGCTCCAGGCGCACCTGGGGGCTGAGACCGAGTCACTCAGCTCAGCCAAGCACTGTGCCCGTGAGCGGCAGCACAGAAGCCCTGAGGGCACCGCTCGGCGAGGCTCCCTGCGGCAGGTGGGGCCCGGGATGTCTGGCTGTGGTCCCTCATTGCCCAGCAGGCGCTTGCCCAACACCCACACAGGGACGAGGCCACGTCTCTGGTCTGTGTCACCTGGGACTGAAAGCGGCCCGACCTCGAAGGAAACAGCAAACACTGGTCGTCGCTCAGGAAATGGCCAGCAAACACTGGTCGTCAGGTCAGGATGCAGCAGCCGGTCAGCAAGGAGCCCACCCCACAGCCAGGCACCCACCCCAC